TGTAAATATATATTTCGTAACGGGGTTCACAAATAAGTTGCCCAATTGGTGTTGTCGATAAGCTCGGATATGTAATTCCAAAACGAAAACATCATACTTGCAGTTATTGTGGGCTGAGTACAGTGCATACACATGCATCGATGCGAACCCCATCGACTTGAACGTTAACATCGACGGTGGTCGTAACTATGGGTGCCGCAATACATTGTCCTGAAGTACAAAATCACCATCGCCAATGAAAGCACACGCACTAGACGCTATTTTACTTCATAGTTGGTGGCGACGACGGGTGAGACCGATCCAAACTTATTGTCGAATAGTTACTTGAAACTTGTTAGTTTAACTACCCTTCCCCTTCAATCGACGTATAGACTCAGCGACATACTAGCTGGGTACATTGTGACACAGTGTAAGCCCACAGACATCATTTTAACACACACACGCTGTGTATGCGTATTCATATACAGTCAAGTGAATCTATATGTATAAAGCAGCTATAGCGAACACATGGAAACGCTATCGGTTAAGATTGCACCACTACTGTCACGTGGCAAGATTCGGTGTTCCAGGGACTCATTCAGCAGAGGTTCGCGCGTACTATGGTTGCGTGTGGTAGAAGGGAGGTTGTTGAATGGATCGAGTGCAGTATGTATATGATAGCAAGCAGTGCTTAATACGAAGTTGTCTACCATTCGTAGGTACCATATTCCCATATCCCAGGCACACATCGAGTTATGTATTGTTTGAGCACAAGCACAACACAATACAATATTGTTTGAAGCACTCCTTAAATGTGCAACGAACAACAAGCTAATCCAAGCACAAAGAACAGTGTATAAAGAGCCGAGATAAGACACACATACTGGTCCGGTAGAAGAAGGCCATCGGCCAGCATGTAATCCAGAAATTCAGCAGGCACAGGAAGCACATGTGTTGGGAGACTCACGTCACGGAAGGCATCGTACCATGCAGAGAATCGACAATTGTCGACTTGCGATTTGTACATTTTAGTAAAGTCTGTGATGGGTTGCCGCATGGGGAATATTATTATACTATCTTATCAACAGCGTTTACTGTATATACAGAGGATAAGTGCTTCTGAGTGACTGCCTGGCTGTCAGTATTTATTGATGCTACTTACGTGTTGCTACAATACGCATAGGGATCATTATTTGTTCGAACACATGAGCATGACACCCAAATGACGCATGCATTTATCTAAGACATGTGAATCGAATATTTTTAGGGTGTCGTTTGTCACCGCCCCCGTCTCCCCTCTAAAATAAAAAACATTTCCATATTGCGGCTATACTTTTGTTCTGGATTGTTTTACCATTCACCAGATAAGAGACTTCAGATATCAGCACTCTGTATTCTCGTCGTGGCCACTGTACAACCCAACTGTTCAGCCAACATACAACAAAAGGCGAATGCCTATGAATACAACCATAATTTTTCGTAGGTACTATTTTCCGGATGATTGGTGTTCTGCTTTATTAGAATTTTAATATTATCAGTCTAGAATTCTAGTTTCAAACCAAAGCATATGATATTACAAACGCCATATACAATGATATTAAATTAGATGGTAGTGGTAGCAATAGAAGCCTCTAAAGCCAGGATTTCTTCCAGATCGATATCGTCTATTGTGATCGACTTTCTTACACGTCTCTTCTGCGCGGGCTCCAGATCCTCTACAACGTCCAATACAATGGACTTTCTTCTGGTAAGCGAGAACTTACGGATAGGAGTGATCAGCTTGCGTACATTATCCTCCGCCTGCTTCATCAACACCTTCAATTCCTCGATTGCACTCAACATCTTCTCTTCGGGGAACTCGAATACAACACCACCCAACCACTGAGGCACACCGGTATCAATACCTCTAACACTGGCGCCTACTTTGGCGATGTATTCGATCTTGGTGACGTACTCATGACCCTCGAAATGGTCCAAGAAGGTAAGATCTTCTAGCACACCAGTTGTTGGAGCATTGATAAAGTGGTGCAGACGACCCATTGCGGGTACATCAAATCGAGGAGGATTGATTGGGATATCCAGGAGAGCCAGAAGAAAGTTGAGGTTAGGATTCACACCGAAAACACGCTCGTGGAAGTTTTGGATCTCAGCACCGCCAACCCGTGGGTTAACTTCGAGCAGAGCAGGTCCGTACTCGGTATACATTGATTCGACATGGAAGTTACCGTTGATGAATCCAAGTGCCTTGACACACGCGATGGAGTATTCGATAAGCTCTTCCTGAACGCTTTTAGGTGCCAGAGAGGGGAAGTTAAATCCTTTGTCCTGGAAGTACGGTGCGTCGGGAATCCAGTTGTCGACTACATTTGAGTAAACGGACTCTCCCTTCGACATCAACACTTCCACGTCGAACTCTTGAACGAGATCATTGTAGATGATGGGAACGAGCAGGGTCTCCGCCACAATGGGACAGAAATCTGTCATACCTTGAGTAGATAGCAGCGGGTTGACTTCGATGTCTTCCAAGATGGTACCAACGGCTTTGGTGAGTTCCTCCTCGGTGTATACTTTGTGCACTCCCTCAGAACCTGCACCTGCCGTAGGTTTGATGATCATTGGGAATCCAACCGTTTCGATACATTTTGGTACGTCATCAACAGACTTCACTGGGTATGCCATGGGCGTGTTCAGGCCAGCGTTTGCAAGTGCCACACGTGTCTTATACTTGTCACGGGCCATTTGATATGAGTGTGCTGGATTTCGTCCAGGCGCACCTAGAAGTTCGGCGACCATACCCACCACCGGTTGAATTAGTTCTCTTCCACCCCAAACACCATCAAACTTCACATCCAAGTGTTTAATAGCCTCGACAACGTTCGATGCAGCTTCTTCGCAGTTCAACTCGGCGAAAAAGACATGGTCGACTGCGTCATTAGATTTCAGCTGATCTAGATACGGGCAGGTAGGTTTCTTCTCTGTAGGGGTCTCAAACACACCATAAATAACCAGTCCTCGTTTACGCAAGTCCGCCATCATTTCTACCATGTATGTGGGACTGGAACCAGCAGTTGAATTACTCGCCAAGTATAGAAGATTCTTACCCTTTACGGCGTTCATTCTGAGCTCCTGAGTTTCCGCATCCCTGCCAGTTAGTGTTGACACATCATTCGAAGCTGTCATATTGTTAAAAATGTTGCAGATAATAAATACCCCTTGTGTAGGTGTATAGGTTATGATTAATACCTCAGAAAGACACTGGGTTCCCCTTTTATACACACCTGGAGATCAACTTAGAAAACGTTTCTTTCTGAAGTATCATGTAAAGTATTGCGAAAAAAAAAGTATTTTGCACACAATCACTGAATCGGAATCAGATTGCCTCGTTACTCTTTAGCCTTCGTTTGGAGGCAATGGAGCTTGGTGGATGTGAGTGGTGGGAGAGAGAGTATGCCTGTCTGCCACCCTGCCTGAGACCTGGTCACCTGGCTGGGGTCCTGGCAGGATAGGCACCTCAGGCCTGCTGGTCTCCCGAGCTCCTGGCCGCTGAGCCAGGGCGAGAGCTTTAAAAAAAAACAGTTAAAGCGATCAGCAGGAGTATTTAGTATTTTACTGGCCATAAAAAAAAAGGTTGTTGTTGAGCTTTTTGCCTTTTTTCTTAAATATATACATATTTTAATAAGGGGGTTTTTTTTGATGTCAAATTAGAAAAAAACAAAAACAAAAGCGAGCAATCTGATACAGTAAGACGTGAACGGAGCGGGAGAAATGTCAATGCGTTGCCACTTGTCAGTTGTCACTTGTCAGACTGTCATTGTCACAGAGACTTATTTTGTTAAAAAAAAAGAAAAAAAGAGAAAGAGTCTCAGAGTATGATTCAGACTCACAGTCTCTCAGACAGTCAGTCTCAGAGTCTTAGACTCTCAAGTCTCAGCCTCACAGGCTCACAGTCTCACACTCCTCAGTTCACACTCACTCTTTTTAATATCATGTCACAGACTTTCTGTGCACTTGTCATCACTCATCCTGTTGTTTTGAAAAAAAAACAAAAAAACAAACAAAAATTATTGACTCCACGAGTCCTCCAATCATTCCAATGTAATTAAATTTTACAAGAAGTACATATATGTTTGTTTGTTTTTAAAATAAAAAACAAAAAATTACCAATATGTAAATAGTACATATTTATTTTCAGGATGCCTATGGCTATGTAGTAAGTAGTATGTACTCCAGGCCTCCAGGCTCCAGCTCAGAAGCCTCGTGACTCGTGTGTTGGCGGAAATATTCATCATGGGATACTTTGGCTCTGCAGAGTGCAGACAGTGCAGAGTAATGACTAACGACTGAGAACGAGCGACGACTTAACGAGTTGTCGACTGTCAAAGCTCAAAAGTGTTCAATGAATCAATGTCACTCAGTCAGGAGTCAGGCTGTCAGGACTCAGGAGTCAGGACTTGTGCCAAACTATACCAAAGCGGTAACTTTCTAAAAAAAAAACTACACCGGGAATATTCCGGCTTGAAAAAAAAACGATCGTAAGTTCGTAACCAGAATTGTATATTATAATAGCTGGATATATTTTACTAATACCTATCTTGTACACATGCTAAGCATAGCTGACATGTGTCCCGTTTTCGGCTTCTCCTCTTACACCGCGATTTTAAATTTGTCCATTAAAAAAAATTAGGATTGAAGTTTAAATAAAACCTAGACTCCCTGAAGAAGCATACTAAATACTCGCAAAGAGTCTATAGAGTAGACTCAATAGACCTGTGGGGCTGTGGAGGAGGTCCTTTTTTAACATAAAAAGTACGAAACGTTGAAGAAAACAATGCTACAATTTTTTTTGACATCATTGTTGAGCATATTTTACAACTATTTCGTTTATATTTTTCAAAGAAAAAGTTCAAATAAACAAAACAAAACAAAATACAATTTGTATAAAAAAACAAATGCTATGTATTAAAAAATATATATAGGGGCGTGTGTCGAATGACGAATCGTATCTATGTAAATATGACACTCGGGCCTCTCTCTCTTCTTGAATAGAGTGTGACTGTAGACTGTATAGGGTGTGACACTGACTGCGGTGTAACAGTGTGACTGTAAAATGTAGGGCACTGTAGTCTGTAGACTGTAGCACTGTACACTGTACTATTTAGTCACGCACTATTTACACATTTACACCATAGTCTCATTGCACTTTTAAACTGTATAGTGTAGCGCTGTAGACTGTGAGTGTAGAGTCGCTGTGTTCATTGTTGTTTGTAAATTTAGAAATAGTTTGTGTAAATGTTCAAAATCTTTCTTATATACATGGATGATGCAAAAGGATTGTATTCTAGTCCTACGAACTTTTCCGTTCTCCCTTAAATTTTACACTCCTAGAAGGTCATGATTCTATTTAATATTTTAATATTTACGTGGCCCTCTGGATTACAGGATTAGGTCCGGAGCGGAAACGAGTCCCAGTTGTCAAGTTGGCCATGGTTTGTACCTGTCGCTCGTTGTGCATTTACATAACTACTATTTTTCCGACTCTCTACTCGTTCGATCGCACACACGCACACAGCCACACATTTACGTTCACACAGAGAGCGAAGAACTAAATAGAGGGAGAGAAAGTTAGATAAAGAGAGAATTATAGCGACGATTTATTTAATTAGAAAATGAAAGAGAGAGAGACAGAGAGTTTATCTATAGATATTCTACACCATAGATATCATTTTGCTTGCACATATCTATAGTATCGATAGTTGCACTTGTTTATTGGAATATTAACTTGAGAGATGTGTCCGTTTGTTTACTATTTCATCAATGATCAAATTCTATTACTCATTTTCCCTGCCCTTTACATGTGCTGTTAAATGTGAAATGTCACAGTGTGAAATGTGAACTTGTCAGGATGAGCTAATTATCTTCTCTGGTGGAATAAGAATTAGTCTCAGAAACGATTTCTCACTCATGACAATCCCCTACTTATTCTCCCCTCTCTACACAGTAGAGAGAGAGAGAGAGAGAGAGAGAGAGCTATGGACAATAACAACATATGTATTTATCTGATACCTCTCTCACTTCCTCTAATTTTCTCTCCAGTTGAGTTTATAGACCTGATC